ATTGCAATCCTAGGCGTTCTTCTGTCCATCCTGCGTCTCTCCTCTTTGCTCTTCTGTTTTCCATCCCATTCAGCCTTCAAGCGTCCTCTGTGCTTGATTGCCCAGTATATGGTAAGGGTCTCGATGACATTCATTGCGTCTCTTCTGTTTGCTAGGAGGCAACAGTTGCCTCTTGTTTGGGATAGTACAGTGGAATTTACTATGAATAGAAAATTTATTCYGTGTAATAGGGACGGGATCGCAGTATTGAAAATTTCATGTTTTACCTAGTACCGGCGCGGTTTCCAGTCTTATTAGTCATTCAGTCATTGCCGTTGCGTGATTCCGAATTCCTTAAAAGAGAAAAAACTGTCCGTTGGGATCCTGTTTTTAAATGATTCCCKTTAATCTAAAAGGTCTAAACTAGACCATTTAGAATTTTAGACTTTCTAGACTATCGGGAATGACCCAATAAGAAGAACAAAGAGAGAGGTTATTCACTAGCTACTCGGGATTTCGCCTCACACGGGAATCACCCAATATTTCTKGAATCGCTCTTCCGTACGTACGTACGGGTACTTTTTTTCCCCAGTCCAAGCCATCCTGATGCTGATGATGGGCCACAATCCATAATTAAATTCACAAAACACAACACAGAACGCTTTGGCGGTGGAGGGAAACTTGATCCATTGTTTCTGCATCTGCATCGAGACTTGTTTTGTTCGATTCGCGATCGACGAACGCAGCCAGGGAACACGACCAACACCTCTGCCCGCCACGAGCAACACAGTGCATGCTTCCACACACGCCCCCGATGGAATCGCTTCCCGTCGATCCGCCACAACCGGTGGCCGAAGTCCGCGGCGGGGGCAGCAGCAGCAACAACAACAGTTGCAACAACAACACCAGCAACGACGCGTTCAATCGCACCCGCAAAGAAGGGGCCTTTCACGCCCACTTCGATTGCTTCTCGGGCGCAGCGGGCGACATGCTCCTGGCCTCGTGCCTCGACGCCGCGTCCTTTCTGGGTGGCACGGGCACCGGCGCAACGGGAAGCGGCAAGAGCCGCCGGAGCGAGGAACTGAGGGACCACGTGGAGGAGTGCCTGAAGATGGGAATGCCCGAGCTGGCCGACGAGTTCGAGATCCGCACCGAGCGCGTCTGGAGGGGGGGGATGGGGTCGATCGCCGGGCTGCACGTCACCGTGGTGGGCAAGAAGTACCGCCACGAAGCGGCCCCGGTGCCGGGGCGGGGGCCGGCGGGTTCGGAGCCAGGGAACGATCACAGCCACGGGCACAGCCACGAGCACAGCCACGAGCACAGCCACG